GGTTTTATTGGGTTTTAAGAGATGGGTTTTGGGTCAAGTTAAATTATGTAAAGGAGACTGTGCTCAGCCCGCCTCTAACAACAATATGCTTAAATTTTTGATAAAACGATTTAAGAAACTTTTCCTTGATATTCTTGATGAGTTAAAGACAATGGTTTCCGAGAATCATGGAATCTAATAGAGCATTGTTTATGTCAAGTTCAGTTATATACCAAGCGAATTGATCAAAGAGGATGTTACATGCCTGGAAAATCTGAAAATTTTTGTGAATGTCGATGATCGAATGAATGGTAAGCTAAGCAGCTCGCCACCGCAACGTTTCGGTCGGACAGGTCTAACTGCCCGACCGTTCAACCTACCCTGACCGAAATGTAACCTAATTTCAGTACTATAAATAGCCATGTAACTTCATTTATTACAACATCCGTAATCAGAAATAAATGCTAAGAACTCAATACTCGTAAATAATAAACCTCTATCTCTTACCTCACTTAAAGACCTCGCTGAATTAAATCTTGTCGAGCTCAACTCTATTAATCAAGAATCTCCAAGCTTCACCTCTAATATTTATTGAATTACCCTCGCGTGCGTATATGAAACAACAATTGTGACCGTTATTAAAGAAATTTATTATATGAAGGGTATTACAATGGAACAACTTGTAGATCCAACAATCCAAGAACCTGTCCATGATTCTGACCTCATATATTTCTCGCTGTTTCTTTTTAGGTATTAGTAATCGTCCAAACTCTTAAGAAAAAATCAAAGACTATTTGGTTAACCGAAGCTAACCGAAGCTTCTTCAGACCATGAAGCGTCAATCTGACATGTACGGTTTAAGTAGGCCACTTGGTGAGTTTCCACTATCTGATTTGGGATCCGCCAATTTTCTGTTGCGTGGATAGCGAGTTGTAAAATATAATTAGGTGGAGACCCGCGCCAAGCGCGGACTTGCGATGTATACAATGCTGATTATAATTTTTTTTTTATAATGGTGAAAACCTTATATCTTATGTAAACATTTAAAATTTCAAGGAGCATTCGTTGTTATTGTGATCTGTATCGTTAATAGATCCATAAATTTTGATAATTGGATAATGGTACTTTTGAAAAAACTCATCACTTTGTCAACCGTGACCATTATCGTTATGTGCATCAATATTTGCTGATAAAACATTCCAATACTGCAGATCTATAAGCTGCAGTTTGTTTCAGTATGTATTTTTCAAACATCATTATGGTTTTGTACTCGCTTTATTTTATGTTTTAATAAAAGTATCAATTCTCGACAATCAGAACAACCAATAATGGAAAAAAAGAAAGAATATTCTGAAGCATAAGTAAATCAAAATATCATTAAAATAAATCATTTAATTAGTAAATGGTTAAACCAAAACAAATAAAATAAACTTTTGTTTCCTTACATTCTGAAAGACGGCATTGTATACAACGTTTAAAGTATTGGTTTGTAGCTTACCATATTATCCGTTATCAAAATCTTCAAGTAACACGTAATATAGCCACATAAAATTGTCCATGAGAAAATATGGGTTTTGGTAAATACAATCCAACCTTTTGCAAATTCTGTCATTGGCTCTTATTGATAGTCATTGCTTAGGCAATGGCTACACAGAATTGTCTACGTCTCATTCTAAAAAGAAATCTTGTCTCAGTTAGGGAATAAAACATTCGTGGGATCAAGACCTTTTGACAAATATACTCACCAGTTATGCGCAAGGCACGGGCATAAGGGTTTAAAAACGTACAACATAATTTAATGTTATAAATTGATCTTCAAGAAAATTAAAACAACTATTTAAAACATTCATGATAAAATAAAACAAATTCAAAAAATAAGCACTATCCAAAATTAAAGACGTAAATGCTTAGCAAATAAATGTATGAAATTCACAAAAACAATTAAACTAAGAAAAAAACGAGTTCTTCATCTCTACATCATCGCTTTTCATCATTTTTTTTTCTTCTTATTTATCTTTTAGTTTTTCTTCTTTATCGTCTTTTTCTTATGTTTCTTCATAGTCTTCCACCTTTATCTCTCCTTCTTCTCTCACATATTCTTAGTTTTCTTTCATTTTCTTTTATTTCTTCTTCATTCTATATGTCTTTTCTTACTTCTTATTCTTAAGGTTTTTTATCACGTCTTCTTCTTCTTCGTGTTTTCCACATCTTATCATCATCTTCTTCCTCATCTTCTTCCTCATCTTCTTCCTCTTCTACTTCTTTTTCTTCTTTATTTCCTTCGTGTTCTTTGTTCTCTGTGACTTTATATTCTTCTTGTTTCCCTATCATTCTCTATCTCTCCCTCCCTCTGTTTCAGTATTTCTCTCTCACTCTCTCCTTTCTTCTCTCGTCCTAAGTTGTATATCATACGATTTAGACAACTACATTTAAAGTAAATCGTGTTTCGAATAAAAAAAATAAGAACACAAAAAATATGAACTAACATAGATTTAATGTTATGTACTTGAAATGTTTAACTCTCTTTTCCCCTTTTTCTTACTCTCTCTCTATTTCTTTCACTCACTGTCTCTCTTTCTCCATCAACATGTCCCTGAAAGCATTAACTCAATTTCTCTATCTCTTTCTCCAAATTCATCATCATCTTCCCATTCTTATTTTTCAACATTTTCGCCTTGCATAATTTTTGTTTATTATGATTTTTTTGTGTGTGTCTTCTTCTTCGTCTTTTCTTTATTCTTTATCATCGACTCTAATTTTCTTATTCCTTATTTTTTCTTTCCTCTTTTTCATCGTCTTCAACTTCTATTTCCATTCCCTCTTCAGATTTGTCTTCTTCTTCTTGCTCTTCTATTTTGTTCTACTATTCTTTCTACTCGTTATCTATTTGTTGAGTTTTTCTTTGTATTCTCCTTATTCTGTTTTTTTTTCCTTAGGCTTTTATTCGTTTTCTTCTTCATTCTCTAAATTAAAGGCCTTTGTATCTTTTTATGACTCAAATTCTACATCTTGTTCTTCCTCATATTTTCAACCTGCTTCTTCATCGGCTTTGAAATGCATTTTATAACCTTCATCCTATCTGCATCATCATTTATTAC